GGAGAGCTTGGAAAGGGCAGGGACGGCTGAGTGAAAAGGTGTTTCTGGCAGTGTGATCTCTTACATTGAGAGATGGAAWACCTGTCTATGTAAAGTAAATAAAGGTAGAGGAGGTACGATTTGGAGTCTCTCATAATGTGCTAATAACAAAAATAAATGTTTTATTTTGCTCTTTGTAACTAAAATTCCTTTGTGTCGTTGAGGTAGACTAACTGACCGAAGCCTTGATAGCGGCAGCAAATCTGTATATTACCTGGATTATCTGTATAAGAATACTCCGTTACCTTTTTAGGAGCAGTCAAGAATTTGGAGAAAAGGTACGAATTCCAGGCTATCTTTATAGCATTTCAGGATTGGTGTGTGAGGCAAGAAGCTGTGCCAAGTGGATGCTGGATCTGACCTAGTAGAAAGACTTAGCGCACCCATTGTATAACTTAGCCTTCTGGTGCCTTCAGAGCCTGACTTTGAGAGCAGCCAACCAACTTCATGTTGTCATTTAGAAAGCAGATGTGTTCAAGCCTTGGGTTTTTATTCCCATATAGTGACCATGGATGTTTCTGAAGATGAGCGTCTTTCAAGTCTCAAGCCTAAAACCCTTTTTTTTGATAGYGAATCACTGTCAACCTTTACTCCTTGCACTAATAGTCGCCCTTAACAAATTGAACTGTCTGCCATAATTTTACGAGAAATCACTGTTTTTTTTTCTGAGTACACGTTGGGAGCTATTCCTTGAAAGCTTGAAAAATGGCAATGTGCACTGCTGGCGACTGAACACAGGTTTGATCCCACACAATTTAAGGATGGTATGTACTTTAGAATGAGCTACTTAGGCTTTTTTATACCACTAACATAAGAAGTATTTATTTGTGGAATAATTTAATCATGTTAAAGTTTTGAGTGCTGGTAACTTATGTCCTTGCAAGTTGGACAGGATGCATTTCATGGAATAATCCAGTGTATATGGTCTGTTCAGCTTCCTTGAGAAACAGCTTTCCGTGCCTTGGAGTTGTCTTCAATTTGTCTTATTAATGTGCACTATTACAAATGTCTATTTAAACGCTGCCTTCTCTGGAAATTGGTAAAGCAGCATGCCATGTGTGCTACTGAAATCTGTGGGTTTTCATTATGTTCAGTATTATGTTCAGTGTCATTGTATGTCCCTTTTGYCAGAGAGGGGCTGTCCATATCTGTTAGTGTTTGGCAAAGTGGCTGGCCAGTGTGGCTAAACCTCTGCCCTTCACCCTCCTGATGACAAACTAAATGTGGATCTCCAATTTGGATTTTTACCAGAAATCCTGACAAACTAGAAGGCGAACTCTAGCATTTAAAAGAGGAATAGCTTGGCTTATTTCTCTCCCAGCACAGTTGAGTGTTGTGAGCACATGGCTGGTGCCTTCAGTTCTGTAGGTACAGTGTGTGTGTGCTCTTTTAAGGTATTGAATGCATTAASAAAAGCAAAGCAGCACTTTGAAGCGGTATCTCAAAACCTATTAGACTATTCCAACTGTAATTGGAATCACTGGTAATTCTGCTGAAGCTCCGAGGCAGTTAAACACATAAAACTTGACAGAAGTGAGCGGAGCAGCTGACTGGAGCAGGAAAGGGCTGGGCTGCCGGAGCCTTTCGGGGAATGGTGCTGCTGGGTGTCCCGAGCTGGCCAGCGTGCCCTGCTCGGGGAGCCCTTTGCGGTGACACCTGYGAGCGCTGGGCCGTCTCCACAGGCTGCTATAGAGCTCTGCAGACTGCATGGGTGTCACTTTTAATTGATTCATGTTATGGCACGGTTTCTGCTCTGATTATAGACTACTACTGTGAGATTTGTGTAGGGATGCAGCCCTGATTTCTTACCAGATCAGAAATGCCCTGATTTACAGGCAGACRTTTTATTATGCATTCCTTAAATGCCTGTGGTTGCAATCCTAAATATAAATCAGCAATATTGCTATGAATACTTGGTGTCCRTAGAAATAGTTTACATGAGTAAGAGAAATGAGGAAATTAAGTGACATAGTTGTGTTTAATCTGTTTAGATACTGAGGCTGTGGTTGTTTGAGAATGTTTAGAGGCACTGGAATCATTTTCATTCATTTCCTTGGAAGTTCACATTTGCAAAGTTAGGCGGGTGTTTCAGCGTCTTCCTGAACTTGGTTCAAGATGCACAAGTACTTTCTTGGGCATATTATTTAAAAATGCTCTTAACACGACCTAGTCTGCCCTGGGAACTTGTGCCTTGTTCTTAGTTTTGTGTAGCCCTTGTTCTTCAGTGCTGTTTGTTTCAGAAAATTACTTGATGAGTAATTGAGAATTTTACAAACATCCGAACCTTTTCTGCCCTACAAATACCAGCTGTATAAGTAGCTTGCAAACAAATGCCTAGTAGCTAACGTGGAAACTAGCTCGGCGGCCGGCACCTCGCTCCATTACAGGGGTGACAGAGTTGGTGCCAAAGGTGCTCACAGAAACCCACTCCTTGGCAGAAAGACATCTTGGTTTTTCATCAGACCGAAATACTCTCAAAATTACTTTCTGCCAGCAGAAGTTTCTTGCTGTGTTTTTCTTGCACGCCGTGCAGTTCTGCCCTATGCTCCCCATCTTCTTTGTGCGCCCCAAAGCAGTCCTGGCGCGTGGGATTGGGTGCAGGGGCAGCTCCCGGGCGCCGGCAGGGCCTGGCGCGGGCAGATGGTGCCGGGGCGCCGTGTGCCCGGGTGGGAACATGATTAATCGGTACGGGGGGGATTTAGCCGAGCGCTTAGCTCCTTTTAATTAAACCTTCTGGTTTCTTGCTTGTGATCTGCAGAAGCACGTTCAACGTGTTATGCTGATTCAGGAGCCTGATGGCTTGAAGAGGAACCAAAACAGTTCCCTAACTGCATTTTTTTTTTATTATTTTTTTTTTAGTGTTATCTTGTTGCAAAAGACAGTGAAGAGAACAAATGTTTGGTCCATGCTTCACATTGCAAATTGCATAAATACAGTTCAGRTTTTAGTGTAAGGCACCTGGGGAAGGAGTCCCGGGGAGCCAGGAGCGACGAGTGGGGAAGGGAACTTAAATTGACGCTCCTTCTTCATACCTGGACCTGCTCAGCTAGAGGTGACCTGCATTCTGCCACTTCCCAAGTCCTGGGAACTCGTAGGTTCCCCGGTCGAGCCTCCCTCCATCCCATTCTGCACAACGTGACAGAGGCAACTGTAACAGAACTATGTGCTTTCCCTTGCCCGTTCCTAAGCGCACGACTGAAATCCTACCTAGGGATTTGAATCAAATCTTACCAAGAGAACAAACCCCTTTGCTCTGTGTTTGCAGACGGGTGTATGCGGGATGCAGGGGAGCAGCTCCTTCCAGTGCAGGCGGCCGGTTTGGTCGCGCGGTAGGCGGCAGAGCTGAAGGCTGCCGCGGGAATCTGTTGGCAGTAGTTGTAGGAATAACTGTTACCGGCCTCCCTGTAACAGCCGTGCTAAGGAGCAGGCAAAGTGGTTTCACACTGGAGGAGTGACCCAATGCTCCAAGCGATGGAACACCACCAGGTGGACTTCGAGTRTGGGAAGGGGTTACTAAGAATAACGAAAAGATGCTTTTGGAAGTAGCAGAGTGCATAAAACCCGGTTAACAGTAAATATCAGCACTATAACATGATTGTTCCTTTTCCCCCAGGAATTGGTAGAAATTGTCTTTTTAAATGTTCACACATTGAATAGGTGAAAAACAGAAAATATCCTGTACRATGTGCTGTGTGCTAATGGGAGGTGCCTTGTGAAGAGCGATGCCTTGACGTGTCTGAGAGAGTGCATGTGAGTGCCCGAAATGCAGCGTATAGCCTAACAGCAAGGGCAGTTCACAAAGCTCCTTAAAATAGGCTGCTGCTTTCCATAGCTGTCCCAAATTAGGACGTGGGTCCCTGAATACGCCCGGAAACTTCAACGCAAGGAGCAGAAATGGGACCGTGAGCTAAAGCCAGCTGAAGCTGATTAAGAGACTYCTTTTGACTATGGAAGCCTCTGGATTAGGCCTCTAGTAAACTATAATTGTCTCAGGTGTTTGTGCAGACTTTGGAGTTAGTTAAATATTAGAGTGGGGGTTTCTGGTGTTTTGTTTAACTCGAGCTTGTGGCTCATGTGAAATGCTGTATGTGAGCGTAAGGAATGTGTGTGGCAGCTCGAGTGGAAGGTACTTGCAGGGAATAGTTCTACATGGAGTGGGTAACTGCCCTTAATTACCGGGTTATATATTGTTGTGTCTTTGTGGGTTAATTAACGCTAYGTTACATTAAATCATAGGTGTATCTAGAGACAATTTGCCTGTTTTACAGCTAGAACAGATGGGTTTCTTCAGTGTGCATTTCTTCTGTTCATCCAGTCCTGTCAGATGTTTTAACATTTTCAAAAAGGGTGGTTTTTGTTTATTTTTTTGCTACTGTTTTTCAAATTAGAAAAAATGCCTGTGAAGTTGCAAATACAGGTTGAAGTCAGAGATGATGGTCTACCTGACTCGGTTTGTTTTATTTGACTAGTTTCATATCTATCTTAGGTTATTAAAATGTTTACATTTTATTTTTCTATCAGAATAATTTTTGAGGGCAATCCAAGCTATTAACTATTTTAATTCCCCTTGGCACATTGCCCCGCTTAACAAAGTGCAGTGCTTGACCTGCACTTTGATGGATATGGATAGTTGCCTGTGCTGTCTCCCCACTTTATTCAAGCTGAGGAGAGTAGAAGGTCACTCCTGGAGCTGAGTCGTGGTTTTGTTCAGAATGTCCACAGAAAGGTCGAGCTGGTTCTCACTTGCAGCCAGGAGAGATCCCTTCTGGGCTTTTCACCAGTGATGTTTTCCACAGTTTGAGGGAAGAAAAAAATATTAAATTCTTGCCTAGAACTCTGTGAAGTATCACGAAATTGCAAGCTGTGCTGGTGTTAGCACTTGAGGCTCAAGACCATTTGCACCTATTTCGGGGCTCCCTTGGAACTTTTTCTAACCCCTCCATTTTACTTTTGACCTCTAGGTCCCGGCACGATGTGGGGTGACGGTCCGAGACAGCCTGAAGAAAGCTCTGATGATGAGAGGGCTCATTCCGGAGTGCTGCGCTGTTTACAGGATACAGGATGGGTACGGACTGCGCGCGCGCYGCTCCTGCGCCCCCGGCTTCTTCCTCGAGTTAACCAGCATGGCCAAGCCTGTCTAACCTTGGGGAAGTCACTGGCAAAGTTAAGGATAATAGGAGAGTGTGCAGGAAGATGTGTGGTGCCCCAAAGATTGCCTGGAATTCCCATAAAGATATACCTAGAATATGTGGCAAACTCCTAGGAAAAGGCTTAATTTTTGCCACTTTGAGAATAGTTATAATATAGCGTAATATGTGTGTATAGAATGCTTAAAAATATATAAATATATATAAAAATACATATTATCGAAACTTATAATAACCAAACAAATATTTAAGAGGTTTATTTTATTTTAACATTTTGGTTTTCTTTGAGCTGGTTATAGTGCTGCAGTCATAACTGAATTTAGATTTCTTGTGGGGAAAAAAAAACCTTTAAATTGAGTTTCCAACTTTAAAAAGCTTAGAGGTTATAAGACTGGACAAAACTAGTGAGTCCTTTGAAGCTCTTTAAGGAACAGATAGTTTCACAAGCACTTTTTGATTAGAAAGGTGTCTGTCACCTTGGGGACAAAGTGTCAGCTCCCCCTGGAACTGATTTGAAAAACGTGCAGTTCTTTTATGGCCCTTGTTTAGGGAGATCTGCCTTCCTAAGTGTGTGCTGAGTTCAGTGTCTGGTCATCAAAGCTTCCAGATGTGAAGAAACCTTCCCAGTGCAACTTGCTGCCTTATCTGAGCTTCTCACCTCTTCCAGGAGAGAACTGCGAGGGCTTATGCACTAATGAAAGGTTTATTTGCACTTCAGAGAGAAGAAGCCAATTGGCTGGGACACGGACATATCCTGGCTCACGGGCGAGGAGCTGCACGTGGAGGTGCTGGAGAACGTGCCGCTCACGACACACAATTTTGTATGTACTGCTTTTCCTGAACCCTTAACTAGAGTGAAGTCAACTTGGCGCTTTCCGTTTCAAAGTGAACAACATTTTGTACCTGGAGCATGTGGAGGGGTTACCAAAGAAGTTTTGATGGCAGTAGCTTAAAGTGAATTAGATACTGTAAATGAAATAAATGATGTCAAAGGGAACTTGATTTCTCCAGCTTTCACATTTGGCTGGAATACACCCKCTATCTAAATTTAAAAATATACAAGTTTTAAATGAGCACTGCACTGCTGAGCAGCAGAGCTGTAATAATAAACTACTATTTTTGTGGTGTTGTATCTATAAAATGTATTCTGTGCCTCCCTGCTGCCTCTGCAGCAGCAATTAACTAATGAACTAACTATTCCCAGAGTGGTGCTGACATCATCAGTGATGCTAGTGCACAAATATGTTTTGACCTGATAAGGCACCACATAAATGGAAGCTGCTAAATGGAATTTATCCAAACCCTTCCAGCTCCATACAAAATCCTGGAAATGACATTCGTCACATGGAGAAAAAAAACTTTTATTTAGCAAAAATAAATCTAATTTCAAGCTTTTAAACTGTTTTACTTGAACAAGCTAATTTGGCTATGGCTAGTTAGATGAAAGTATAGTAAATTTGGAAACATTTTTGTGTATCATTCTTTTAAGATTTTAATTATTACGTGTAGTAGTACTTTTGTAATTATTTCTTTCTGGCAAGTATTGCTACACTTAAACAAGATTTTTTTTTTCCTCTGCCCAAAGATACAGATGTCTATTTTTCTCATGATTGCAATGTTTAGTTTCAGCAATCAGAATTAAAACTACATATGTTAACTATATATGCAAACAWTATATAAATCATTCGTATATACTCAGTCCTGTGAATGCTGAATAAAAATGTTATTTCACTACTGGAAGAATTAGAAGATCAGACAAATTTTCAGCTGTTTTCATTTTTATAAATCCTATTGATTAAATTCTAAATGTCTTATTTGTCTTTAGCCTGATAGTAGCATGCTGTTTTGCTTAAAATTGTTGCYGATTTTCTTGCTGGTAACGAAGTGAAGCATTAATTCCAATAAACTATTGAAAGTATATTTTATTGCTTAGACTACTTGAATTAAGACAAGCTTTTTTTTTTTTTTGTAAATCTGATTAGTATTTAAAACCAGAATTGCAGTTTCAAAAAAGYCTTAGAAGTTTGTTTGAGGGAGGTGAAATCAAGTAGTACCCCTTAGGTTAAAGAACCCCCTTATTCACTATGCTCCTTTTGAACGCCGTAGGTGCGGAAGACGTTCTTCACGTTAGCGTTCTGCGACTTCTGTCGGAAGCTGCTTTTCCAGGGATTCCGGTGCCAGACTTGTGGCTATAAATTTCACCAGCGCTGTAGCACAGAAGTGCCACTGATGTGTGTTAATTATGACCAACTTGAGTAAGTAATCCTAGTTTGTTTTTAAATGGAGACTTCTATTAAGCTTACATATTGAACAAAAGGAATCCCTGACAACTGCAATTCAGGAAGTCGGGGGAAATGCCTGAAAAAATATAGGAGCTCAACTGTTCTTGTGAGACTGTTTAATTCATATTGTCTCTCTGGTGGCTCAGACAAGCAGTTCCTGTTTTCTCTGGACTATGAACTGCTTTCTTTGTAGGGCGAATGGAGYGGCTGGACACTTGACTGTATCAGCCAAGCTTCTCATTGTTCTCAGATGGCATTCTTGACCAGAACTGGTTCTTTATTATGTAATGGCAAAGTCCTTGTTTAAATGTTTAGACGTGAATCTATTCTGACTTGAGGGAAAAAAAATTGTTAAGAGACATTAGTTTCATAAGGTTAAGTTGCACTGGGTTTTGCAATGGTTGAAAATAAATCCATTAGTGAGTTTTAAAAGTCTAGGTAAGGAAGCTAGAAGAGCATGTCCCAAACATTCCTGGCTTCTAGACTTTAAGTATTGATTCATCTGTGCAGCTCTTTATACTATYGGTTAAGGAGCTGTGGTGAACTTGCTCTGTTACATGTGATTGGTTTGAACAGAGGTTATTAGGTCTTCTAAAAGACCTTCAGTACCTTCCCTGTTAAACCCTGTCCCTAACCGCCTCATCCACACATCTTGAACCATGTCCAGGGATGGTGACCCCACCACTTCCCTGAGCAGCCTGTTCCAGTGCTTCACCACTTTGTCCATGGAGAAATTCTTCCTAGTGTCTAACCTGAACCTCCCCTGGTCCAACTTGAGGCCATTTGCTCTTGTCCTATCAGTAGCTATTCTGGAGAAGAGACCGACCATCCCCGCCACACACACGCACCTTGAATCTCTTAATGTTCCTTTTCTTCCTCCAGGAATAAACTTAATTTCTGCTTATGTTGTTGTTTGTAATTGTATTTGCTTGAGTACCTCTAGGCTATGTGGTTAGGGTTGCAGATCAAATGACTTTATCCATCTGACAGTTTGCTTCGGTGTTACATCAGTGCAGGCATTCATTTAAGTTCCTGTGATACACAACTTAAAGAATATGTTGGATTCTTGAGGAACAAGATGTTTAAACCTTTCAGTAGAAGAGTCAAGAATTACTTTCCACAAAGGTGTGTCACACAAAAGTGTGACATTTTGATCCGCTGTGAATTAAACAATATTTCTAACAACTTGTGGGTTGATGCATTAGGATGATCTTTGTTTTAAAACTAGAATTTGATCTGTGTTTTTTTTTTCTTTGCTGTTGTTTGTTTTTTTTTTAATATTTAACAGAGTTGTGAAGCTTCTGAGTTTTACACAAGTTAGGTTGTTTTCGTTTTGTTTTTGCCTTGCAGTTTGCTATTTGTTTCCAAGTTCTTTGAACATCACCCCATACCACAGGAGGAGACCTCCCTAGGAGAGACCCCAGCATCTGGATCATACTCTTCATTGCCTCCCTCAGATTCTGTTGGGTATGACCTTATTCCTGCTGTTTAACATATAACACTTCAGTACTATATGCTTAGAAACACTCTAAATACTGCTTTGCAACCCACTCATCTTTGTAATCGGGCTTGTCATGCAAATACTTCCACCTGTGCTTAACTTTAAAGAAGTGGATGTTTTCATTCCCGTGAATGATTTAGATTAGCAGTGAGCTCTAACAGTTAAGCATGTGCATAAATGTCTGTAGAACYGGGGCCTTACCTGTTAAACTGCCTTCTTTACTATGGTAGCTGAGACCTGGTCTAAACTGGAAAGATTTTTATACTTAAAAGTAAACCAAACCTATATAATCACAAATTGTTTTATGTCTTATCAAACTGGTTTATTTGTTTTGAGGTGACATACCTCGGTTCCTGGATAAGCCACAGCACTGTAAGGTTGGTGTGAACAGATGCCAATTTTAGGTTCTTAATACTGCCTTAGTAGCTTTTCCACGTCCACACTGCTTTGGGATCCTCCTGACCAGCTGCCTTCCTCCTGTAAACGTTGGCATACACAAAGAGCATCYGTTTGCAGATCCAGCTTTTCTAAAATCAGACTTCTAAAATCCACCACAGCCTTCCATGTCCTGCATTTCCAACCAAGATTCTGGATTCTTTGCTCTGTGAACAAATAGTTGATTATATTTAGATTATGCTCCTGGTAGTTAACAGGTTGCTGGTATCTAGCACTAGGTAGTTGAGCAAGAAAATCTAGGAAAGGGTAACTCAAGAATGTGCATCAAAGTCAAGAAACCTGATCCAGACTTGCTAAAAACACCAAAGGCAAAAGCCTTYGGAAGGTGCTCCTAGGATGTGTGCGTACTAGGTGGAGATGTGCTGATTTGGGGCCAAAAATGAGWCTCAAAATAATGAACATTGTGCCCAAAATAAAAGCCGAAGCACTGCTGGAACTACACAGGCACCCATGGACTCTGAGTGGAAGAAAAAATCCCTGGACAGCCATGAAAGCTTCTTTTTCCATGAAAGATAAAATTTGATACCTCCCAGGAAGTAGATTGGCAGTGCTGCAGAAGGAACCTCCTTTGGTAAGTAAAAAGGGAGATGATAGTATTATTTGTACTTTTCCTACGTTGCTTCAGGCAAATCCAGAAGTGCTTTCTCCAGGTAGTGCATATGCTTTTACATCCTACAGGTGTCCACTGTCTGCTTTAGTAACAAGTCTGTTGCTGTGCTAGCTGTGATCATCTTAAGCTGAGAAGACTCTAGCGATCTCAAAATGCATCTGAAATTATAACTGAGCCAAAGCTATTAATCTTTGCTGGAACTGGCTTGTACCAAATGTGTTACATACCTATGAAAAAGAGAAGGCATTATGTAGCCCCAATCCTAATGCTGTTATGTGCTAAAYTTCCTTACTTTTCAACTGCCTCTACCCTCACACTTTTGTGGTTTCTTAGCAGTTYGAACATGCCAAGGGTAGATGATTTTAGCTGCATGCAGTACATCAGGCACTCTTGTTTACATAAAGTAAAAATACTAAGGAAAAAAAATGGGAATTTATTAATATGCTAAAATTTTAAATGTTATCATTTTCATACATGTGAAGTTAAAAATAATCTTAAGAGTTGAGGTTAGGAAACTTYTTCGACGCTTGCAACTGTAAAGGCTTGTGGTTGCATGACCCATAAAAGGTTTTTTTGAGCTTTCTATTTTTTGCTTTCTTTACTTSACCGTAGTTTCATTATTAAACAAAACTAAGGCTGATATCATGCCATCAGAATTCTTCTAATTTTGGAACATATTTTATGATTACCAACTGATCTTCATAACTAGTATGCATGTGTACAAAATCATGCAGTTTTCCTTGAACACCTCTTGGTGATATTTCCATGACAAAAGTAGTACAGACACTATCAAACTAGCAAAACTTCCAGTTACTTTTTTGCCTTTTTAAAATATTTCTCATCTTCTTCAAGATACAATTGTGGAAATGCTGATTTCTCTGATTTTTTTTTTAAATAAATAAAATTAATGACCTCTATAGGAACAATTACTTTTAGACACAGTTCTCTTAAAGGGTACTATGAAAGGTATGGGGAAAGGCCCAAATGGAGACAAATCTGGTAGTTCAGATGATTTTGACTGGAGAAGCATGAAGGGAAAAAAWTTAGCTTTGGGAAAGGAGATTTGAAATCATGAAGAATTAACTTAGCCACTGTATACCAACAGTGATAATTATGATAGTTTAATAATTGATCCTTTGGTTTCTCTGTTCTCTTAGCATTGCACAGACTACAGAGGAAGGGATGTTACTAATTGGTTGATAAACCTGAGGAAAGAGAAGGCAAACATCCTTCTTCATCATTAGCCTTGTGAAGGTATTCCAGCAGCAGGCAAAATACCCAAAGAATGAAGGGAAGAGTTCGTGCTGCAAGACAAACTCGAGAGCAAAGTCGTATGTGACATGCTGAGAAATTGTCAAGGGATCCTATGGAGCAATTGGAAAGAAAGGGACATGCAGAAAAAGAACATGGGACGTGATGCCAAAGCTGACACGCATGCTGGAGAACTGTGCACTTTGCTCATGTGTAACATCCTAAACGAGCCCAGCCTTTAGTCTTCCATCCTTCCAAGTGCAAGGAGCAGACAGCCCCTCCAACCTTTCCACCCTGAGATAAGGGAGCACATGTGGTCCCACGTGCACCTTTCTGAACCCCCAACACAAATGTGTTCAGCCTCCACGTTAGTTCTTTTGTCCCTCTTTAATTCTTACAATTTGCACTCTTCTTTTGTGCTAAAGCAGTAGTTTTCTTTATCATTTGCATTTAACTGGAAAGAGTTATTAAATTGTAGGTCTCCCTTATAATAGCCATTTGTAATAAAGTTGAAATACACCAACTGTATATAATACATTGTATTCATTTTATTCATTGCACATATGTTGCATATATTTATTCATTGCACATTATTTATTGCATAAAGGTTCTTGTGTATCTTTGCCCAACAGCTGTGAGCAGTGAACTTCTCTGAGCCCAGTTTCCCAGATCTTACACAAGTATGCCAAGGAGAGGGACTASCTTTTCATAATATTCCAAAGTTTTTTTTCTATTTGCATCAATTCTCTCAGATTAGGTAGGGCAAAGCTCAGCAAACTCATGAGGCAGATGTTATGACAGGGTAAGTCACCTACGGAAGGGGCTAGAGGAGGGCACAGGGGCAGATATTAGGATAGCACAGAGGCAGTCTGGACTTGGTAGGAACTTAAAGCCTCTACTTTGCTTGAGGCAGGATCCTGCCACAAGTAGGCTGGGGACGTTGAGAAGAGCTGTGTTTCCTGACATGCCTAATTTCTGACTTGAGGAAGAAGGGAGGATGGTCTGTGCCACAATTTGAGGACCTTGCCAGACCCTGTCTGACAATAACCTGCACCCTACCATTGAACACCTCTGCTTTACTTTCAGTCTTAAAAATGTTCACTGCTGTATCTGACTCAGAGGAAGATATTTAAATGTCTGCAAAAAGTTCAGAAAAGCCCATGAAAGAAAATCTTAGACAATTACATTTAGTACTAGATCGGGGTACCATGATAATTATAGGATACTTGACCTCCCCAATGTGGGGATTGCCTCATTGCTTCTGCAGCTGCAATACCCTGTAGCTCTGCCCCCAGGCTGCTCAACGGTTTCAAAAAACATTCAAAATGAAAGTGTCACCCTGCCCCTGGCTGATGGCAGCATCAGCCATCAAAGCCCATTCAGCTCCAGAGGGAGGTTTGGGTAGTTTGATACAAGTTTTTTGTTCACARGAATTTCTCATAAACAGCATGTGCTACCATGGAGGCCTGTGGCTGCCCGTCACACTCAGACACACTCGTTCAGTAGGGCTYCGTGTTGTGTATGTGCTGGGGGAGAAGAACAAATCTCGGTCCAGTAGCAATACTTTCATTTAAAAGAAAAATACCATGTGCTGTAACGGAAGCTGTGTGAATGGACATTTTCACTTTAGATATTTATATAAGTGAAAAAAAATTGAAAAAAAAGGCTAAACTCCAAACAAGTTTTTGTTAAGAAAAATCTTTCCTGATTAGACCAATTCTTAAATACATGATAAGTTATGTTAGTGAGTTCAAGGCAACTGAGAATATTTTATGTTGGGGACCTAGCTTCAATCACTGCAAGTTGTAATATGTGTGTTATTGAAGGAGGTATGATACCATAATGTCACTTACAAATTGAGTAGAGCTGTGGAGCACAGTAGTTTTGTAGCACTTTTGTAGCACACTAAGTATTTCCCCTTTCYTGGATTTCTTTTCTGCCTTCTGAGATGAGCACTTTCTCTTTGGTTTTGGTAACAGGGGTGGGAGTAACATGTTTTATAACAAGTACATGGTCCAAGGAAAGCATGTGCTGGCGTGCTCCAAAGCAGTTTGCTTCTAGCACATTCAACCTTAGATTTGATAACTCCATCAGGTTGTTTGCTTGGAAAGCTGAGAATTTTGGTAATACCCACCTGGAAAGCTTGAAGAACACATGCAAAGCGATCTGAATGTTGCCCTTGTTTTGTAGAAGGTTTCTTTTAGCAAGCAGCTTGGCTGCTAAATGCTCCCAAGGGCTGCAGGAGCGGCCCACTCAAGTCCTGCTGCTTAAACTGCTCTGAGCTCCAGCCTTCCACGTGGATGCCACAGTAAACACCTCTYTGCAGCAGCTGTGTTCTGGTCCTCTGGAATTTTTGGCAGTGCATTTGCTGGCACTTACTATTGCCTTCCCGGTGCCGGCCCGAACGTGCTGCGTAGCCCAGAGGGCTGGTTTTGTAACAGTGCCCTAGAACACACAGTGCCACCTCCCAAACTGTGCTGACTGCTCTTTTTTGCCCTGGTGTCCCCTCTCCCTCTCTCCTGGAGTGCTTAACGTGCTGCAAGGAGGGGCTTTCTGCAGGTGAGGAGGGTCGCTGTGTTCTTGGGGAAGGTTTGGCGCCTGCGGCCAGCTGAGGCCTTGCTGAGCTTGTGCCCTCAGCAGCCTGCGGGCCTAGCGCGCTGCTCCCCATGCTGCCTCCCTGTGACCTCTTGGAAATGAAGCTCCCCTGCGGCAAAAATAACCCAACAAAATCCTGTTGTGCAGGGAGAACGCGGGGCTAAMTGCCTGTGAGGTTTCTTTCCCTGGATCATTCTGCATCTAAAATCCAGAAGCCCTCACAATAACGGTTTAGAAGTCCTCAAAAGAGCCTATTTTGTCAAGTGGAAGTTTTTTTCTTAAAGATGCTGAGCTTCTCTGAGTTAAACCTAATGAGCAGTGAAAGCCATTTAAATGGTTTTAAAATACGACACGGCATACATAGCATGCCCTCTGATAGCAGCATGCTGCATTTGATGACCTGTGATCAGAAATGCAAGTGATTTCGCTTAGCAGCTCACCACGTAGGACTCTTAAAGGCAAATGCAATTGAAGCCATGTTTCGCTAATTGAATTTATTTTTTTTTCTCCCTTGGCTTACTCATGATTGCAGAAGGTCTAGTTGCTTCTGCTATAGTTGCGTGGCCGAGCCTGAACGTGCGCTCGCAGTCACCCAGCGCTGGGCCTGGTGGCCCTCGCTGSACGTTTCCTTAGACTTCATTGCTGGCAAGAAGTCCCAGGAAGTTTAAGCAGGAGCCAGCTATTCCAGCAACGATAGTCCTTGTCTGTCCAGGGCAATCTGAATGCTTCTGAAAACTCTCTATGCGGCTTCTGATACACTGGTTTTTGTGTGAAAGTGTGGTCTTTAAGCATCAGCCTTTATGAAGTCTCACATTCATATCTGTTCCGTGTCCCATCTCCAGAGGTTGGTTCTAGTTGTGCTTTTTTTTCAAACTCCTGAATGTTTTTAAAAACTTCCTTGTTTGCACTCGTTTGCATTGTAGGAAAATTTTAATATATTTGCATATACATTTATATTTACATATTTACACTTATTGCCTTTTTTAAAGACATTTCTGAAATTCTGAACGTCTTCCAAGCCTAGTGCTTGACTGTTGAAGGCATTTCCTCTAAAATTGGTCTAGTGGCAATTTCAGTTCATCACTTCCCAGGATAGAAATATGCATATTCTGTCATTTGAAAACAGAGTGCTATCTTTCAAGAACAAGACAACAAAAAAGAAGAGTTAAGCCCCTACCTTCCCCCTGTCCGCTGTTCTGCTCCAGAAATATAATCTAAGCAGKTTTTTTTGATAGGACTTCCTGGACTGTTATTTGGATTCATTGGTAAGCGCCCTGTGCTTCATTATAAGAGGCCTGGCCAGGAAGGAAAAGACAGGAGATACTTCTGGGGTACTGATTGTATTGAGGATCTGTACCAAACAGCTTAAAATCTGTCATGAAAGGGTTGTAGTCTCCTTTTAAGCAGATCCATTCCTGAGAAAAGCCTCCGGTATGTTATTGAGAGTGTTAGTAGCCCTTAAATATCTTTGGAGAGGCCGGGGAGCGTTTGCTTACAGCAGACGCTGCCAAAACCCCCTTGCAGCCCTAGGCTGTTGCATGGGTTGTGTGCGTAGCTGCTCCCTGTGGGCATTGCCTGTGTGGGCATGGGAGCCCATGGAGGAGTTTAATGGCTAGAGGACTTGGCTGCTCCCCTGGGAGTTGTGTTYTCTCTACCTCCTGAAAACGTCGGTGTCAGCTCTCGAGGATATTTTAAGCATAAAGATCCCTTTCAACAAGGCGACACACGTTTCTCATTGAACTTTTGCCTTACATCCGTTAAATTGAATCATTAGACTTAACAGCGATTGACCTTGACTTGAGTGAGAGATGAATGCTGATTTACTGCACTTTACCAAAAGAGCAGGATAACCAAATAAGTGACATTCTGCCTTCTTACAAATGAAAAGCAGGTTTTTCAGGTGTTTTACCTTTTAAACGTGATTCATGGTCCTATAAATTAAATACTGTAGCTAGACCTGTGACCTGCGGCAATTGCGTTTCTTCAAAAAACTCATCTATATCGTCTGAACGCTACCTTTCAAGTCAACTCTCTTGCATTGATTAGCTGTAACATTGTAAATAATGTTTCAAATGTCCCACTACTCAAAATTATTTTCTGAAGGTTGAGGTTAAAAGGTAATATGTTCATATTTACTTTGATATTAATAATTCATATTACATAGGACATAATATTAACTTTGTTGATTGACCGATATTTTGTTTTTAGTCTGTCTTTACTGCACAGTATTCCCATCCTTAAAGTTTATTTTGTTAAATATTTTGACTGTAATATTGATGTAAAATGTTAAGCAGTCTTAGATCTGTATGGGTGCTATTAAAAAGTGTATGATTTTAATAAACTGCAGAGCATCTCAATGCCTGCTGTGCATGTTGGACCATATTATTTTTTTACATGAGGATTTAATATTACTCGCTAGATACGATGTGGATTTGTTAGGCTTTTTTGTTTTTGATTTTGTTTCTGGAAACTYAGAGCACTTTCACAGCCATGTAATTGGGTAGCTTATGCAGCAGAGGGTTGTTGCAGTTTCTCCTATGGGAAATAGAGATCATTCGTTATCAAATGTTTTTATGCAGGCTTTTAGACCAGCTTTTTTGTGTATGTGTTATTGTAGTTGAAAAGGATTTACCACACCCACTATGAAGTATTTGAAGCCGTTTGTAGACCTAAATCCTCTTTTTCCTTGACTTTGTTTCTCAGACCACCAATTCTCCCTAGTCCTTCTCCTTCAAAATCCATTCCAATCCCACAGCCCTTCCGACCAGCAGATGAAGACCATCGGAATCAATTTGGGCAACGCGACAGATCCTCTTCAGCCCCCAATGTTCACATCAATACAATCGAGCCAGTCAATATTGATGTAAGTATTCATGAAAAGTTTGGGTCAGAAATGGTGGATTTTATTTTTCCTGCCCATAGCAGTGCATTAATTTTTAATATGCACACAAAAGTAGTGAATTTTTAAGCTAATTCTTTGTGGCCTGTTAAGGCTCTTCATAGATACCAGATAGGACAGCTTTTGCTGGTCAGAGCTGTAAGAGTGAAAATAACCCTTTCTCCAAGACCAGAAACTATATTTTGCCAATGCTCTCCTTGTTTTTTCAGAGCCACACTATCGTAATCCATTGCTTATTTCTTAAGAATAGTCCCAAGACTTGTACTGCTAGCTGTACCTCTATATTAAGAATCTAAAAGCCAGTAGCCAATCTTATAGAGCTTTTCTATGCCTTTATATATCTGATTATATGAGATAATCTTTTTTTTTTWWWAAATATTTGGGCTTAAGAGTAGTTTCCCTGACATGGAAAGAGATGTGTTTATTGCTGTAAGCGGGATTCAGATTTACTGAGTGTTGCTTTGGATTTCAGGAACGAGGTTTTTTATGATTTATAAAGCATCCAGAAACTACTACAGTTAATGTGTTTGTCTCATTTTTGAAATTTCTGGGTGCTGAATTGTAATACTTCATAACCATTGATATTAGGTATAATGCCAGCCAGCACCTTTCGAAATGTTGGTTATGGCATTCTCATTGCAATTTAGCTCACATATAGGATTTGTTTTTTTACCCCCAAGTCCACTTTTTAGAAATTATTCACTTGTCAAGTGAGCAGTCTTGAAGCTCCCTTGGACACTGCAGAGCACAAAGCTGCTTTTGCTTTGAGTGAAAGCTGATAAGTTAGCTGCCTATTCAGAGTTGGCTGCACAGTCATTTGCATGTGGTGCGTGGCACTGGGTGCAGCTGAGAGGCAGGACCGGTGAGTTCAGCGACACAGCGAGCCTGTGAAGGAAAAAAATACTCGTGTGGCCATTGCCTAGGTACTCGGATGTAAAAAATAAACAGCAGACAAACAAAAAGCTTAATGATGAAAATGGACCTACAGATGGAATTTGCTGGAATTGTTTTCTGTTGAGAAAACTGCTATTTTTAGTGTGGTTTACTTGCACTGTGAGTAGTTTGTGAAAGATTCRGTTAACAGTGGACAGCAAGTGAAGGGCAATTAGTCATTTCTGAAAAGAACCACGTACATCTGAGTATGTAAATGACATACTTTATTACTAAAAAAAAAAAAAAAAGCAGAACTCATTTATTTACCTCAATAGCTCAATAGAGGGAATAGATGCCCCAACTTCCAATATRCAAGTTCAGCTATTTTGTGTGACCAGCAGTGTAACTAGAAAGCTTGGTTCAATATTTCTTCTTGCATTTGGGCCAACTGCATGATTAAATCATCATTTTCTTGCCAGCGTCTGTTGTGTGCCTTTCAGTTTGCTGCTGGGAGAGTCTGTCTTAWATTAAACAGTTTTGAAAAACGTAATACTTCTTATGGCTAGTTCTTTGAGTTGCTGTTGTTAGTAAGTCCAGATAAGAAACAACTTTTATTTGCTGGACAGTGTAAATAGTCTTGGATTCTAATTTCCCCAGTTTCCCTCTTTATTCTGAAATGTAAGTAAGAATATGGGGTTTGGAAACAGTTTTTTTTTTCCTTATTTATAGGACTTGATTAGAGACCAGGGTTTGCGAGGAGAAGGAGGTAAGTAGTATTTAAACTAGCTCCTGTGCTGTATTTAATTCCGCAGTTGCTTTATCCCTTCCCTTTGTCTCCTTCCTTCTGCAAAACACAGACACAAGGGGGAATATGACTAGAACAAAAAGTGAATTTCCGTTTGCTTGTCCATAATCTTAGTAGCTGTCTGAGAAAGGTTCGAGTCATTTGCCAGTCATTCTGGGAGTGGGGGAGACAGAAGGAGAAGAAGTTTGAAAGCGGCTTAGCTTTAAAATTGACTTCCACTTCAGGATGTTTTTGCTCGCACACAGTGTCTCGCTCACACGACTGCACGCAGATATGCTGTGACTCCCGACTCTTTCTTAAAGATTTTAATGCCTGTTGCTGCCCTTCCACCCACGGGCACAAGAGGGGCTTTGCTTTGAAGCCCGTTGGCACAGCAGATGGGCCTGCCTTATGAACTGCTGCCTCCTAGAGCAGCGTGAGATACTCCGCTTCTTCTCCCCCTCTGCCCGCGCTGAGGATGCTGCTTTGCTCTCGTGCATGCCTGTGCTGGCCAGGAACCAGGCTCTGTTAGGGCCTTCAGTTACCATCGGGTCCCCTCGTGTCCCCTGCGGCAACACTGCTGCACGCAGCCTTAATTCACCCCAAAGGCAGAGCTGGTGCCAGAAGGTAGATGTGTTATTCTTCACGTGCTGTGCACAGGTCTGTTTTGCAAAGTTCTCCCACAGGACACAGGTCTTGTGAGGGCTTCTCCTGCCCTGTTTATTCCTTTGAAATGATACAGCAGTATCCAGTAAAAAGGGTAGACATGTGACAGTTTCTCTACCCCCAAATTATTAACACAGTTACCTCCTATTACCTACGATGTGCTTCAGCCATAAGCAAAGCTGGAATTACCGTGATGCACTCCCTCCTYATCTCCAGGGTTTTGTAGCATGAGCTATCACAGTTTTTCCTTCTCCCATCGGAGCCTGCTAGCCAGTAGGATAGTCCCGACCTACTGGTTTGTGTGGGGAGAGCCGTATTTTTATTTTCTAGTGCCAGCAACAGAACACTTTTMAACCCAAAGTCCTTTACCCCTTCAGCCACATGAGTTTAAAGGTGCCAGTTTTAACTGTGTCATATGTCTTGATAGGTTTGGCGCTCCGCAGTTTTGCCCATTTTGTCCAGCATTTAAATGTTGTGCTAGCATGTTGGTTTTAACTCTTGGTCATAAACTGTCTGCTTGGCATCTCAGAACAATTGGCTGTGCCCATTCCTGAAGCAGTGTTTTCAACAATTGACCTTTTTTTCCCCCCCCTCCTTCAAAGTACAGAAGCAATCTATGAATAGGAGTCAAAGCATCCTAGTTATTTCCCATGACTTCTTTCATTTCTTCTATGTGTCTGTCTTTCTGTCTCTGCCTGCCCGTCTCTTTCTCTCTAACAGCCCCTTTGAACCAGCTGATGCGCTGTCTTCGGAAATACCAATCCCGGACTCCCAGTCCCCTCCTTCATTCTGTCCCCAGTGAAATAGTGTTTGATTTTGAGCCTGGCCCAGTGTTCAGAGGTAGTTGGGCTCTTCTTTCTTGTTTTCACCCAAAACAAAATAAGTAAAACCACAGATGCTGTTTGTGCCTCACCCTCACACCGTGTGTATGTAAGTGTGTGAGTTTATCGGAACACCTCTGTTTTGTTTTTCTGCTTGGCCTGGCTGGAATGCTTTGAATGTGCTTTTCACACATACTCACGTTCACCTTTTCATGCTTGAAAATGACTGTAAATACAAAATCTGACTTAAATCTTCTAAAGCAAGGAATTTCGTAGTTGAGGTTTTTGTACGGTCCTTAGCATCATTTTTCTAAACAAAAGTTCTTGGACTTCGTTGGAATGGTTTTAAAGTGGCATCCTTAACTTAGAATTTCCTTGACTGTTCATTTTAAGTCAGTTCAGTGCTTTAGCACTGAGTGCAGTTTTCTATATGCAATAGTCCTTGTTTTGAAAAGGAATCTAGGAAATAAAATGTGAATTACAGACATCTCCATTGATATCTTGTTAGGTCTCAAGCTTTTCAAGTAATGCCAGATTCTAGTATATACTTTTTTGAGAGGTTTATTATTACTGCACTGGAACACAGGATGATTTAGATCAGCCTCTTATTACTTCTTATTCAGTAAAGTTCCAGTGAAATATTTGTGTCCTGAACTGCAGAAAATACAACTTCTGTTTTTCACATTATTGACTTGGAAATAATTCAGACCTAAAGCTGTCAATGGATCGGTTGTATTTCACAAAATCCCAGAAATCTGACAATTTCATATACTGGAAGAAAAATGACTCTTGTATAATAGCATGGAATCTGAATTTTTCGTGTCTGCACACATGCAGGAGTGGGTAATTCAGTGCATGTAGTGTGTGGTTTTCAAATGCTACCACCTTGGCTGTTTCAAAGACTTTTGTTTCAGAGTGTATCAAGAGATGTTCACTTTATGAACTTTCAAAATTTTTTCCAGATTTATTTTTGGAGGAAGATAGGTGTTCCCAACACTCAAACTGACTGTGGAACGGAGTGGGTTAAACGTAGCATCAAAGCTCTAAGTAATAACTTAAGTCCAGGATTATCCTGGAAAACAAGCCTCCTGATACTACTATGAACAGAAAACTGTAATTTTTTCACCATGTGCTATGTGAAGGGTGAATACTGTGCTAGTATTTATTTGTATTTAAAAATATAATAGGATCCTCTATTTACCTGTACTGAAACTCTGTTCTAGTAGAGCTTTGACACTACAGAGCAAAGCTGTAACAGAGTAAGCTTGGGAAAAAGTCCTTTAAGCTTTCTTTAACCATTCTTTAACCTGCTGGCTCCCAAGAACTTGTAAATGTTGTTATTATGCCCAACATATAAATGTTGTCATTATGCCCAACATGCATTTTTATTGCTACGTTAGCCTGGGGATCAAATTTTATGGGTTGCACGTGTTGCTCTGTTGTCATTGAGCACTTCCACATGTATGGATTTTAGCTAAATAAGGAGAGATGATGATTAGTGTAGTCTGATGAATCAGTTCCCCCAGAGTGACTGAACTCAAGTTATAAAAGTTAAAGCAGAATCTGAATTCGGGTTGGCCCCGGGAGACTCTGCAGGTAGGAAGGAGCTTGTGGAGGAGTGTGAGGAGGAGCAGTCTGCACCACCTGGGCCCTCTGCCACCGGGCTGGGCTCGGAGAAGGCACTGGGGGCTTCATAGGGTCACAAACTCTGTTTGGCAGAGCAGCATAAATGTAATTAACAGCTGCCCCTATTCAATGTCCTTTGCGTTGGGACTGTCAGCATAATCTTGTTGTTAATAACTGTAGTGTGTTTCTAAAAGCAGCGGCAGCACAACTGAATTTTTCTATTTGGAAAGAGGCATTGGAGCTGTGAAGCACAGCCCCTATGAGTGACATTTTCCTACATAGCTTTGCTTATAAAACATGCATGCTACAGATGTACTGTATTCTTTGTATTTTACAGAATATGCTTCAAATAGCTAACCAAAGCATTTGTTCTTAAAAAAATCTTTTCTACAATCCTTTATTTGTAAGAGCTCTCTGCTAACAGAACTTTAAAACAGCCAATTTATTTCTGAGGTGGCACTTGGAGACTCAGCTAGAAAACATTTATATATTTTGCATTAAGTCTATTTTAATTCCAAAGTAGAGTATCTCAGCTATTTCTTGAGCTCCCAGAAGGTTAGCTACTAAAAGTCCTGAGAAGCAGCTGCTGTTAACTGAAATGCTACTACTATTTTTCTTCTCAAAGAAACTGGTGGGATTAAAAAATACATACTTTTTACTTAAAGAAACATTGTCTTTCTGATAGTTCGCAAACAAGAGACTGAGGACTATCTGGTATATAGGGATGTTTGCTATAGACTTTGCCTCTTCCTGTTGCCCGAGTGAGACTTCAGTGCTGATTTAGTGTTAGCACAACATTCCTGAAGTATGTATTTGTTCCCCCTTAACATTTACATTGATGTTTGGAGATGCATCTTAAACAYGATTCTTGCACTCAGTAAGTTCTTACAAACCGCCTTCTTATAAGCACAGATAAAGTTGTGCTGTTTCTGAAATCTAGGTTCAGCTGCAGGTTTGTCTGCAACGCCTCCCGCCTCCTTGCCTGGGTCACTCACCAATGTGAAAGCGTTACAGAAATCCCCAGGACCCCAGCGGGAGAGGAAGTCGTCCTCATCCTCGGAAGACAGGAATAGAATGGTAAGCACCTATGGCACTGCTCACCAGTAACCGCGTTGCACCCCAAAGCCTTGCTGTGCTTCTTGCTTAGTGCTAGCTAGCTAAGCTAGCTAAGTTTTAACTTCTCCCACCGTATTTCACAAACAGGGAATATTCTGTAGTGATTCTCAAATGTAGCTGTACCTAAAAATTGCCGTATTTTAAAGTTCACATTTAACTTTGTTAATTTTTTAATTCTTACTCAGTGATGAAACATCTTTTTTATTAAGAGTTTCTCATTTTTTGCTAATTTTGACATTGCCAAAAGTCTATGAAAGATATTTCACGTCAGGAGATTGTTTAGTATGTACTCTTACATGCCTAGCTTGAAAAGAATAAAGATTGAGTTGTAATTCAAGCATTTAAATACTTACTTTGCAGTTAAATGCAATATTTGAAAGAAAAGCTATTTCAAGATTTTYATGATATATAATACTGATACTGATAAAATACTGGTCTTTAGCAAAGAGTTTAGAATGGCAGACCTTAAAATGTTTCCTTTCTTTTTTTGTTTGTGCCAAGAAAACCCTTGGTCGGCGAGATTCAAGTGATGATTGGGAGATACCAGATGGCCAGATCACAGTTGGACAAAGGATAGGGTCTGGATCCTTTGGAACGGTCTACAAAGGAAAGTGGCATGGTATGTGGCTGTCTTGGCGAAGGGTTAGGCTCAAGAAAGTGACATTATCTGAATGTTTTCTAAATTAACTGCAGTGTGTTCAATTCTAAACTCTGTATATCCTGATGAATGATGTAATATTCAGGGTAAGGATGAAACACAGTTACGAGTGAAGCTGAAGTATCCAGCTCACTGAATTAGAATCCCAAGAGGGCCGGGAGGTGSAGGGGGAGGCTCATTTTTCCATTACGGTGGTTGATTTCAGCACTGCTAGAAAAGAGGGTATCTCAGTATTTGCTCTGTGTAGCATTTTCACAACTTAAGATTCTGTACCAACAGCACTTTTTAAAATTTGCTTTTTTAAGGTGATGTGGCAGTGAAAATGTTGAATGTTACAGCACCTACACCTCAACAGTTACAGGCTTTCAAAAATGAAGTAGGAGTGCTCAGGTAAGAATATTTTTAATGGCTTATAACCATAAGTTACACTTCAGTAACATTACATTTTGTATTTCTGTTAGAACATATTGGTGTTACTCCTTTTTTGTGACGACACCTTGAACAGAAAATATGACTCGCAATTTTTAAATGTTTCTTTGTATTCACTGCTAATTCTTCCTTCCCCTGCGTGTGTTTGTACAGTCATGTTGTGAGTGCACCAATTTTTTGGTATTACAGTATTCACAGGGCGCAGTCACGCCTAAGTGTGTGCTGTAAGGCCCTTCTTTCTTCTTTGTGTACACTTTGGCATTGAAGGCAAGCGTGATTAACTGTTGTTTTCCAGCAGCACCGCTGCTCATAGATTCCACTGTTTAATTATTTCTTTTCAGGAAGTGACTCTTCTTGTTTTATTTTGTTTTTTAAATGTATTTCTCATGAAGTAACTCCTTGATTTTTCATTCATGTTTCCTGCTTGTACTTTCTCAGAGAAAGTATTTGTCTTGGGTTCAGTTCCTTAAAGATCCGTCCACACAATACAGTAGAATATTTATTGGAGAAGACAATTGTTGCCCAGTTACTGTCTTGGCACTAACTCTGCTTTAGGAAACAAARTAAAAAGAAACCTGTTGTCTCTGGGAAACTGGTGTTTTGAGCCTGGTGCCACTTCTGAAAGAGCATCTGCAGTCAGATGCATGGTGAAAAGGGGACAGTCAGCCCCTTCCCTGTAGAAATGTTGTAAAAGCTCAAAACCTGTAGCTGCAAGAGGAGGGGCTGAAAGGGCTGTGCTGTAACCAATACCTGGGCGTAGTTTTTGCCATATCTGTTCAGGAGAAGTTACTGGAAACCAAAGTTTCATGTCAGAAATCTTGCGTTTCATTCCTAGTCCAAATGTCTTCTGGAGACCTCCTAGCTGCACTCCAGCCTTTCCCTGCTGATGATCATTTCTGCACTTATGGTAGTCAGCTGTCCTGTCCTTCAACCCAAGCAAGCTAGATTTTTTTTAGAAGTGTCCCTTTTCCTTTACACTTTAACAGTATTTTTTTGTGCTTTGAGGTTGAATTTGTGAGAAAGTGCTGATTTCTATTGACTCTGCAGTTACTCTCACCACCACTTGACAAATCCTTGAACCTGAAAAAGGTACTAGTGCCGAACTGTTTTGAAAGAAAAATACCTTTCTTTTTCCTCAKACACTGAGCAAGTTAGGAAATACCCCAGCATCCAGAAGTGTGTCGTCTTGGTAATCTTTATTTGGCTTGTTTAGAGAATAATAGTTCCTCCCCAGTCCCATTTGACAACACTAAGGCTGTCATTGGATAGTCAGGAGGATCTTTCATATTTCACAAGGTATCAGTAGATTCTTTCGGGCTTTGAAACCGCTGATATAACCCCCTCTAGACTGTTCTTTTTGAACTTTTTATGCCTGGAGTAACTTCTTCTATGACAGAAGTTTGATTCAGGCTTTACTGCTTCTTCCAGTGCTGCTTGGAACCAAGTTCTTACAGAATATTGTATCCTACTGGAGTACAAGAATATCCATTTTTCATATCCTCAGTTTTCATTTCCATCCTCGCTTTCATGGTGGCTCCACATATGTTCATATCAAACAAAGTGCTAAGAAAAACCTGAAACCTTGTCAGGAAAATGTACCRTTGTTTTCTGAAGGAAAAGGTTGTCCTTTCTGGAAGCCTCCAAGACTGCAATTTGGTTTTAGATGTCCTCTGTGTGAGTGGCAGCATCTCTTAGCTGGAAGGAGGTTACGCAGGAGCGGGCCTGGTTTCAAACCACTGCTGTGCCCACATGGACCCAGCAGTAGCAGTGTCTTCTATCAGTCGCCTGCTGGGTCGCCTGCAGATGCAAGAGGCAGCAGGGCTTGCTCCACAATAGCTGTTCCTTGTTACCACTGTAAGGAAGACCAAAGGCTSCAATAACTCAGCAGATAACTCAGCAATAATTAGTTGCCATGTTATTTTAGGGAAAGCTGAGCTCTACTAAAGAACTTCTATTTAGAATAAATTCATTTAGGCTGTGATAGCTCCACCTATTTTTTTTTTCAGTGATTTCCTCCACATTTTCTTTTCCCAACAGGAAAACGCGACATGTGAATATCCTGCTTTTCATGGGTTACTCAACAAAGCCCCAGTTGGCTATTGTTACACAATGGTGTGAGGGGTCCAGCTTATATCACCATCTACACATCATTGAGACCAAATTTGAAATGATCAAGCTAATTGATATTGCACGACAGACTGCACAAGGCATGGAGTAAGTATCATGCTCTTTGCTTGCAAATGAAGGCTGCGACGATGCTTAAACTTAAGCTTAAGGTTCTGAAGTTGTGTTGTAAGCTGTGAAATCGTGTGTCTTCTGCTTCCAGGACAAACAAAATGGTAGCAAGAAATCATTTTTATCTTTAATGGGAACAGCCATTGTTACCAATAGCTTATTTAAGAATCCTTTCCAAAGAACCAAGTCATTAACTTTAAAGTAGTGAATAAGCTATTAATTACTTTGTGAATAAAGTTTTTTTGTTATTTATATATGAGTAAACATCTATTGAATATTAAACATCTGTTAAATTGAAAAGTGATGAATTATGTAAAACAAGAGTGAATCTGGAGTTTGCATTACCTTCATTACCTCCTTAGAGCCTATATTTTCCCTTTAATAATTTTCCTGTTTAAAACTGTAGCATATATTAATCTCAAGGCAGATAGTCTTATAGTAGATAGTAGAAGGTAAAATACAGCTTTTTAGAAAAATTTAGCCCTACTAGTGAAAAGAATCAATTTATAGTTAGTTCCTCTCATTTAAGTATTGTAGCTCTCTGTTGAATAAAATAATAGATTTCAGCATTTGGAGAAAACGTTTATTTTATTCTAAGATGCTTTTTGGAGTAATCATTACTCCCATAAACAATACAGAGTAAAAATTTGCAGAACTAAACTGATATTCTGTGTCAAAATCAGACCACTGGTGTAAGATCAGAGAAATTACCCTCCAGCAAGAAAAMTAGTAAAATGATTGAAATTAATAGTGCCATTTCAAAAACAGGATAACCCAAATACTGTGTTTTTGTGTGGGTGTGTGAGGGGATGGGAAGGGGCTTCCAGCAACTGCCCTGCAGCTCCTGCTGGCCCGCCAGTGTGCCCAGGCTCCTTGTGCAGGCAGAGACGATGCAGCAGCCCTTCTGTAAGCGGGAATCGAAGTGGCCACTGAGCTGGGGCTCCTCTGGCCGGACTGTGCCCCTCTCACTGAGCAGACCAGGGCCACAGGAGGCTCTCTGGTTGCCTGGCCTAGGCTAAGCCTGTGTCGTGCGGCAGGGACGCTCCTCCGTACTCCCTGCAGCCTCTTTATCCCGTCGCCAACAAGGAAATCTCTTTCCAGCCCCGTGCTGATAAAGAGAGGTCAGTGTATTTGTGGGGTGCACTCTGGGAACCGAGAAGCACTTTGTATCCCACAGCTTAAAAACAGCTCGCCTGCAGCTGTGAGTTTTCTTCCAGGTGTCTGACRGTCACCACAAAGCCTGGGGCGCAGAGCCTCCAAGCCTGAATGGCATGTCAAAACCCACTGAAATGCTCTGATTTTGGTTCGAATATTGCTCAAAAAACATCACTGTGTAATAGGTATTTTTCTGTTTTGTTTTGATTTAATTGTTCAGTAGCACCAGGTTTGAGCTGGAAATACAATTTGTTGTTGTTGTTATTCTTGACTGTAGGAGGAACCGTCATGGGTAACAGGTTCTACCACCTTGACAAACGTGTGCGTTTTGAATGTGTGAAGTTTGTGTTTCAGTAATATGGTAAACTTTGAGCTGTTGGTTAGTGAAATATCATTTAACTCACCCAGTCTGTGATGTTCCTTTTCAGTTATTTGCATGCCAAGTCAATCATCCACAGAGACCTCAAGAGTAATAGTATCCTTTCCCACCAAAGTGACTTGGAACATGACATCAATCTTCTTTCTTTTTGTCTGCCAGAAATGAGCTTACTAATGTGAAAACCTGTTCATGTATGAAAATTTGACTGAGAAGGAGTAAAATCATTTAGCAAAGTAAGGAATACCCTTTATGCCTATCAAGAAAGTCATCTGGGCCGTAGTCTGCTGAGTCCTAGTCCAGTCATTACATCTATAATCCTAAAGGACTAATTCAGGGTGCTGATTGCTTAGAATGTGTATYACATGAGGAATTATAACTTCCTTTAATGGTGGTACATGTTGGAAACGTAGGTATAATGCTGCAGTTCCATAGCTGTGTAGAGCTCCTGTGCTGATCTTTAGCATCAGTACAGTGTGTTCGTTTTTCCTTAACGTTTCCTCTTCAGATATTTTTCTTCATGAAGACCTCACAGTTAAAATAGGTGACTTTGGTCTAGCTACAGTGAAATCACGATGGAGTGGGTCCCATCAGTTTGAACAACTATCTGGATCCATTCTATGGATGGTAAGTCGTGGGGAAATGGCTTTTTGTTTTAAGCAATTCAACTACCAGCACATGGACACATCTTCAGCTGGAAAGGCCAGGCAGTAATGATGAAATGAATAGATGCTTTTCAGTTCTTCTTTAAGCACATGTTTTCCAGGAGTCAGCAAAAAACTTAGATGATATTATGCTCTGTTTTGAGGGTTAAAACTTGAAGGAAAATTGTAGCTGAGGAAAAAGAATCTGATTAATCAAGAGCTGAGGAGAAGATGAGAAAAGCCATGAAAAGCTTCCTTACGAAGGAGCAGGGGAATCATCTAAAAACACCCAAAAAGGGATTTTTTGGGGGAAACAGCCAAAAGTAACRTGCTGTTAACATTTTAAGTATCCAAGCATAGTTACAGTGAAGAGCAACTCTTCATGAAAAGAATTTTTGTGATCTGTTGTACAACTCAACTTCCTCTTTTTTTATCCCTGAAGAATGTGGGKTTTTTTTCAGTATTTTTCAATGTTGTTATAATTCAAGTTTCAGGATAGTTTCTTAGCCTCTATATCATATAACCGTAAAGGGATCAAGCTAAAGAGAACYCATCCGGACAAAGGCACCAAGCTAAAGAGAACCAGTGGATCTTAGGATTCGTGTCCAAGCGCCCTCTGTGCCAGGACCCAGTAACGTCTGAAGCCAAGAGYAGCCCTTGCACCTTGGACCAGTCTGTATTTTGTACCTGATGTGTGAGATGCAGCGTGACAAGGTGAAACAAAACCTGCTTCTTTTCTTCTATGGTACAGGCACCAGAGGTTATCAGGATGCAAGATAAAAACCCCTATAGCTTTCAGTCGGATGTCTATGCGTTTGGCATCGTTCTGTACGAGTTGATGACTGGACAGTTACCATACTCAAACATCAACAACAGGGACCAGGTAAAGGGGGCAGGGGGTTTGGGGATGGTTTGACTTTAATTTCTTGGTCTATTACTGTAGGCCAACTGTGGTCTCACGCAGAGAATGATTTAGCCTTGTGCACATGCTGGTGCTTTGGAGATGACACTTGTACATTTTTTTACCTCTGCCTCAGCCCCATAGCACCAGTACACCTACTTTTCTTGAGTTATTTTTTGTTCTTTTTACCTCAAATATAGGTTTTCACATTCTGAGCCGGTTGCCAGGATACTTATTAGGGAGAGAACATATTTCTTAATAGTAATCTGGTTTAGAACAGTTCTGCAAAGGAGAAGTGATTTTCCATATGTTCACAGTACCCTCCCCTCCCCACATCCCCCCCGTTTTCTTTTTCCCTCCTGAACTGCACAGAGTAATAGCTCAGGAATAGGAGCAGCAAAACRGAGCAGCAGTCATTTCACTGAGTGTCTTGTATTTATTTCAGTCTCCAAAAACGCCTGCACCATCTAATGGGTATTGAGGATTCCAGCACCTCTCAAATACTGCTTGATAAAGTGTCTGACTTTTCAGTGTGTGTCTGTCCTGTAGGACAATTACTTGTSAACAAATATTCCATAAGTCTAGAGATACCCCACACCTGTGTGTTGCTATATGAGAGCCATCTTCAGGAAGGCTTGTCTCATTTCAGTTTTCTAGTCTGGAAACGAGATGTATGCGACAAGGCCTTTGGTGCAAAGTATTCCATGTCTRGGTAGTGATGATGTATTTACGTTGTATTTGGATTCGCCTCCCTCGGGTTTTGTTTTGTTCTTTTTTTTTTTGATGGTGTCAGTACTTGAGAACTGCAACCATAGCAACGTTCATGTGAGAATGCCATTTTGTAAGGCTGCTTCCCTGCGCGTCAGAGCRCTTCATCCCGATTCATCAAATGTGGAGCAACTTGTTTTCTCTCCACTTCATTTCTTTTGAAGGAAAGGAAATGTCCAGATTCCTGGCCAGATGGCTGCAGCCTTTTAAAAGCAGTATCTGTTTTATTTTCACCTTATGAGATTTGCATCACRAGCCCTAGAGATGTGGGTGCCCAGAACCAAGTACTGAGACAGGTTTTAGATCACAAGTGAGGCCTAGATACCGAACGTGACCTGATGTGTTGGGTTTTATCAGCCCCAGCTTTCCACAGAGCAGGTGCTGAGCGTCCACAGTAACTGCTGCCTCGCAGCAGACATCCCGGGGAGCAAAGTGCCATTTTCATTGCACATCATGATGTCTCTGACCTGAAGAGATTTCCATAGAATGACTAGGGCTGGTCTTGTGGTGGCATTCTCCTTAGGTATTTAAAGTTGCTCTGTATTAATAAAAAAAACGGAATCAAAAATATTAAAGAATTTGGAGTAGTTCCCAGTAAAATACTGTAGCTTTAGAGTRAAAACTAACTCTTAACATGCTGCTAGATGTATTTGCAGAAGTAGTAAGGGATAAGATAAAATAGTCTTTACTATGAAACATTGCTGTGGYACTTTGGAACTTCTAGATAAACCATGTGGGAGTTTCATGCTCCCTCTCCATGCAAATCCAGATGCAAATAAGTTCAAAAGTTCAGAAAAGACCAGAATTACATGGGTATAAATAACATCTCAGGCAAACTACTCTTCTATGTGCTGTTTTGCCYTTGTGTCGAGATATGAAATGGGTCCATTTCATTAACCAGTGAGGCGTCGTACCCCTGCTGCAGCTGCAGTGGGGCTCGGCTTGGCTCCCCTGGGAGGACGAGTTGGTGTCAGGGGGCTGCTGAACTGAAGCTGCTCTGCCTCTGACCTTGCCTTGACGTGACCATGTTTGCTGACTTTTTTCATATTCTTCATATAKGCAAAAAAAAACCCCAAAGACAAACCAGGTTTAACACTTCATTTTCGTACTTTCTGTTAAGTGACATCAGGTCTGTGCTAAAGTTTTAGCCCCAGGCCTAAAGCAAACTCTCAGTTTTAAAGTTTTTGCTGTAAAAAGAAAATACTGTCTTTCTAAATGCACTACCAAACCTGACTTGGAGTAGTTTCCACAAAGAAGAGCCAGGCTCTCCCTTGTTGTTGCTTTCTTTTAGTTTGTTTGGGATTTGGGGAAGTGTGGGATGGAAAGAAGCTTCTCTGGTGAAAAAGAATAAGGGGGTTGTATTCAAAAGGTAAGGGCATTTTAGATATTTAGAGTCCATATGTTTCCTAAAATGCTACTAGGTATGAACTTGCTGTCAACTTCTATAATATGAGGCAAGTTAGTATTTTATTTTTAGGTATTTGTTCCTGTTATGGAGTTGCCTTTTTTTAAACTGTTTCTGTCACCCAGGAACTGTGCCTCAGATGGCTATTCCTATAAATGGCAACTGTTTATGAGCATTTAGGCTTCACCTAAATTCACCTAAATCTCTCTCTCTCTTTTTTTTTTTTTTTTTTTTTTTGGTTAATTAAAAAGGAAAGGAGGAGAATTGTAACTTTTTCTCTGCATTTTTCTCTGCACTGCACTAGGCAGGTCAGCCAGCATTGCTCCCAGGAACTTGGTGACTGCAGCAGCAGATACTACTTTCTAGGAGTAGAAAACTTGCTGGTAGAAATAAAATAGCCTAGAAAAATCCAGTAAGATTCATCATGTTTCTTACTTGTTACACTGTTTAATGCACTCATCTCCCCTCATCTCTTCCCCTAAAATGCAGATAATATTTATGGTGGGACGAGGATACCTATCTCCAGATCTCAGCAAAGTACGGAGCAACTGTCCAAAAGCTATGAAGAGACTAATGGCAGAATGCTTAAAAAAGAAAAGAGATGAGAGACCCCTTTTTCCACAGGTGGGAAATGTTCTTAGTTGATTTTACATCCCAAATAGGAAAAAAATAAAGGTCAATTATGAGCTTGTTAGCCAGGTCAAGGGGTTTTTTGTTTCTTTATCAATTGAGTGTTCTGACAGGGCTTCATAAGAGTCCTGTTTTGGTAGCTAACTGTTTGGTTAATGCTACTTAGTTAGAAATGTTCATATTCAAGCTTAAAAGCAGGTATTAAAATTTCTTGTATAATTGGAAAAGCGTTTATGTGTTGGAGAAAATTATACTGAGCAATAGTGGAATTAATAATTGTAGTAAGGCACTAATATTTCAGAGTTAGATTTGTGATAACTTTGCCACAAAACTGGATTTATTATCCCTGCTAAGAAAAGGCATGGATTCTAAGAGCTGGCTTATTTTTCATTATTTAATCAAAATTATTTATTTAATGGCTTTTTTAAAAAAAAATAAATATTCAGAATCAATGTCAAAAATACAGAGCTCCCCCTACTGGCCTCATAGTAGTTAAATGTTAAGCAAACCACTTCCAACTTTTATTTGCAGGGATGATGTAGGTACTRTAAGCAAGGGGGTAAAGATAGTCATGAAGCTCACAGAGAGAAATTAGTATGTCTTTCTAAAGGGGAAAATGTGCCTTCCAAAATGTCCTTTTCAGGCTTATGAGAATATRTAAATATCAGAGTGCAAAGTATTAGTCTGTTTTTAAGTGTTTCTATTTGAATGTGTGTATAAATATTTATCTGTAAGTAATTGGTGTTCTGCCATTGCCGGAATGAGACTGCTCACAGTTTTGGAACCCGAGCTCTGATCGCTGATTTTCTCCCCGTTTCAGATTCTTGCCTCCATTGAGCTTCTGGCCCGGTCATTGCCAAAAATTCACCGCAGTGCATCTGAGCCCTCCTTAAACCGGGCTGGCTTCCAGACGGAGGATTTTAGTCTCTATGCTTGTGCTTCTCCCAAAACGCCCATCCAGGCAGGGGGATACGGTGGGTTTCCAGTGCACTGARACGACGTGTGAAAGCGTGTGCCTGTGTGTCTGTGTGCTGCTGCGTGCCCACGGGGGCAACACATGGAGGGGCTCGGTTCCTACCAGCTGTTCGTGAAGGTGGGCTGAGGGAATGAAAATGCACTGCCTAATGCAGTGTCCAACATCAGGTGTCCAAAGCACAAAGTTCGTGCCGGTGAGGGATGCCTTGGGACCAGCTGGCACAAGAAGAACTGTAAGGTCACTTAGGAGAAATGGGAAAAGTCACTTCAAAAGAAGCAAAAGTCATCCTGAGGTCACAGGTTTTCATTTTTGCTTGTTGTGTCATATTTTGGCAGGTTTACTGATTGGAGTTAGTTACTCAGTGATGTATTTAAGTTTCATCTGCACAAGCTGCCTTCATTTTTTTTTTCCAGTTGAGGACATGATATTTGAGCAATAGACGTTAGATTATTCACTTACTAAYTGTCTCATCTGTGGGAAACGAGGTGGAGAAATAAACCAGTGAAAACTTCTTGTGGTCAACAGAAGTTAGCAGATACAACACGGAATGCAAAGAAAGACATTAGTGACTTTCTGAAAGTTGAGGTTTAAAATAGTGCTGCTTAGAGAATATCTCCTCCTGCAGAGTGGTGCTTTGGGTTTTATTTGTTTAGGGGTTTTGCCTAAATGTTCTGATGTGCTATAGTTTAGGTATCGCAGGGTTTTCCTACAAGGCAACATAGAAGGAATTCCGAATCTCTATTTTGCTGAATTGCTGTTGCTTATAATGATCCACATAACCATCATTTAGCAAGGATGTCAGAAAAAAGTCTGAAGCAGTACCAAATTCTTYAAAAGAAATACACTGCTAGCGCCCCAATAGAAAGAAAAAGACCATTTGAAAACACAGCTGTTTTCACAGAAATCAATATTATTCCATGAACTCCRTTAAAATGAAACATTTTAGTAACTTCCATATTATTAATACTGCTGAGCACACACTGTTCAGTGAGGGATCATACAAAAGCTGCTAGTTTGACTGGAAGAGAGTCGGTCAGACTAGGAACCGACCTGAGAAAGCGAGAAAACCCAGCGAGATCTTRTCAGCTTGCTTGAAAGGCGCTTTTTCGCTGGACCTGTTTTCTGGAACTGGTAATTTGGAACAGTGGTTCAGGTTATGTGACTCCCAATCTTGGGAGTCAAACAGGAAAATAGTAACAACTGTGGTGTTACACCTTTATGCAATCAAGTGTTTCAAACTGTTAGGCCTTTCATTTTCACAGATTATTCTGCACCAGAAACAAGCTATTGCAGTTTTGCTAGGCCTTCAAGGGCCAGAAGTGCCCTTAATGGCTATTATAGAGTTCTTTGCACTTCTACTAGCACTAGGCTTTTATATTAGATGAGAAGTTAAGGAAAAAAAAAGTTTTCTGCTCTCTTCCTGGCTACTAAGTCTTTTAAAGCAGGAGGTGGAATTCATTTAGGGAGAGATAGGTAATTTCTACGTTTTTCTAACCTGGTTTTAATGGCTTTTTTGGCTTCTATTGTTGGAACAATTTTGGAAGTAAGCTTTCTTTATTTCATTATGTTGTGCAAGAAAATTCAGCTGTAGAAATCCAGCTCTATGGAAACAGTTATTGAAGATGAAAGTTATTATTGTCTTAAGAAATCTATTTCCTGTCTTTCTGATACTTCTACCTCATCCTGGCAGGCCTATCTTAAAATGAAAACAGGACTTAGGTGGKTTTTTTTTCCTTTTATCCATTAAGTTTTCCATTTCAGAGAGCTGAGAGAAGTGACTTGTAGGCCTTGGGGTCGGCGCTCAGTGTGGGTTGCAGAGCCCATCCCTGTGCCGAGGCGGAGCAGGAGGTGGAAGCGCCTGCGGAAAAGGCTCCCCGGGGCTTCAGGAAAGTGCAGAAGCATCAGCACTGCCCGGCCCTGTCCCGCTCTTTCTAGGGTCTGCCCGGGAAGTTCAAGCAAGATATTCCCAGGAGTAGTGTTTTCCTTGCTGTTGTTAAGGTTATTCTTCAGAGTTATAGGAACTACGTTATGGAAAAGAATGCTGCCATCCTTAGATATATTTGGCCCCGTTTCCTGCTGCATCTGTTGTCAGAGTGTTGGAATTTTTCTTTTGTGACTTGAGGGGTTTTTTTGGATAATGAGTGCTATTCTTGCATCCTTGACAAGAACATTGTCTTTGCTTCGTAAAAAAATGCATTCATGAATCCTAAAATGAGGCTATTTTTTGATGATCATTGCCCTTATCAGACATAAAAGGCATTTGGGCATTGAACTAATGTAGCTTATAATTGCAGTTTCAGTAGAATTTTGGAACATGTATAGGCAGAAAATGCCTAAATTTACCTGTAGATTTGGTCAGGATTCATAAAAAAAGACTGCAGCCCAGCTGTATAATTCAGGAGCAGATGCCTGTAGGTCTTAAACTGGTCTGTAAGGACCCAGGCTTCTGGGGAGAGGCAGTTTATACCATGTGAGATTCATTTTATCTTTACATCTCTTCATCTGGGTAATGTGAGTAGAGAAACAAAAAAATGTCTGCTCCTGGCCTGAGGATACCAGCTATCCACATCAGAGTATGTTCCAAGTTTTTATTTAGTCAATGGAAAGTAGCCGTGTGGAAGATTGCTACAAGAACTGAAGGAAAACTATATTTTTTTCTCCAAACTTTTTTTTTCTGTGTCTGTGAGTGTAATCCAGGCAAAGTAGCAGATTAATTGTAGAAATACTGTCCCTTTGCTAGGTCGGTTGCTCTCTACTCCAGTGGACACAACTGGCATGGACCTAGAAGGGCATCTTCTCACTGGGATCCTTCTGAAAAAGCATGACATCTGCTCTTTGATAAGGGGTGCAATTCAGATGTCAGGTATATATCCCTTAGTGACCTCAGGAGCCCACGTAACTTATAAATTTCTCAGAAGGGACACTTGTAAACTGCATTTTAAATCCTTCCAGGGATAAGGGGCAACTTGTTCCACTCCGAACATGCCCTTACAGTATATCATTTGGGCTCATGAGATAACTTAATCTTTTAGTAGATTTTTGAGTGATTGCATTTGAAATAGTGTCCACTTGCTTCGCATACGACAAACATGAAAAGACTGTAGCAACTAACTCAAAAGCCGTCTGTAAGAAATGTAGATTTTTAAATGCTCTACAGCATGTGGAAATGAATTTCTCGTTGTCATTGAAAGCAAATTTCAGGAGTTCTGCATGGTGGAAGGGAAAAAGCAAAAAAGGGGTGTCTGTCACATGCCCGTCTCAATCGATAAAATAGCCTCATGTCTTTTCACTTCCCAGATTTTCAGATAGGTGTCTTTATAGCACAGCAAGCTGACAGAGTGAGCACGGGCTGGCTCCCAGCCTTGCRCTGGCACATCCTCTCTGATCCCATAACGAGTCAGTTCCGCACAGGGTGCACGGGTTTSCCACCACAGCGAAGAGAGCAGTTCTTCAAACATCATTAGAGAAGTCCCCCCGCTTGGCGTTTGCCAGGTGAGCTCCAGGGTGGCACTGCAGGGAGGAGCTGCTCAGGCCAGGAGGGAAGGTCTCTGCATCTTGGGTTGGCACTGGCTGCTGTAGAACAGCATCCAAAAAATTGCAGGACAGAATTGGGATGATCCTATTCATGCAGGACAAGGTAGGTCAGATGTATTCTCAAAACTGTCATCATTTCATCCGTTCATTGCTCTCAGGCAAGATCTTCCTGTCCAACTAGAAAGCAGTGAATTTGTGGTTCGATTGTCGCTTGGTTGTGGGCATCCTGCATCTCAGGAGCAGCCTACCTGTGCTTGCCCGATGGGGTGTCCTACGGAGGATGAGGGACCAGCTACAGATATTTTACATCTCCAAAACAGAATGGATGACATAAAATACTTTTCAGCTAGTCCTCAAAAAGTTCTGTTAAAACCTAGCAGGATAGAGGGCTCCTGTAACGTAGACGGTCAGAGCCATCTACATTCCTCATGGAAGGAAAGCTGTTGCTGGTAACCACATGTGCAGTCAACGTAATTCCCCTGTTAGATAAACATGTGACTTATCTTGGTCACCTACTTGCTTTGAGACCAGATCAGCATCTGGACTTTGAAGTGGGAGACTTAGCACGATCTTATCACAAAAAAAAAMCTCTCTGCTAAAATGAAATGGRAAAAAAAAAGTCTGAAAATCACCTCTTTATAGCTACTGCACCATTTGAAATACTTCTTGACTTTTGGTCTTGTTTTTCCATTGCCCTTTCATAATTAATGGTTCGTCTTTTATCTTCTGAAATCCCTGGGCAACTATTAAAAGCCAAACTATTAGCAGAAATGGGCTGAAGGACAAGATGAGTAATGAGGGAGCGATCTCTTGTTTATAAATTGATCTTTAATCAGCAGTTTAGGAAAGCACGCTGAAAAATAAATTAAGTAGGGCATGTTTTGAAAGCGAAGTTAAGCATGAATGTCATTCTTAAGAAAAGAGAAAATAAAGCCCCCCATGGCAATATCTGATGATCTTTTGCCCTTCCCCTCTTAAAAAGGGGTTTAGAAGAGAGAGAGGAACAGGAAGAAATAACACAGTACAGCCCAGGCCTCAGGCTCCCCGTGGGGCCGCCGCAGCCCAGGCCTCAGCCTCGCTCCCGGCCTGCTTCCTCTCGCTCACAGCCCCCTCTCGGCCCTGCTTGCTGATTTTCTTCCTGCTCCCTTGTACGGAACCACAGAACCATTATGGTTGGGAAGGACCTTCAGGATCATTGAGTCGAACCATAAGCCCTTCAGCACCCTGCCTGCTAAACCCTGTCCCCGAGTGCCTCATCCACATGGCCTTGAACACTGCCAGGAGGAATGGTGACCCCACCGCTTCCCTGGGCAGCCTGTCCCAGTGCTTCACCACTCTTTCCATGCAGGAATTCTTCCTGTTATCCAGCCTGAACCTCCCCTGTCCAGCTCGAGGCCATTTCCTCTTGTCCTGTCRGTAGCTATTGTGGAGGAGGGATCGATCCCAGCCTCRCTGCCGCCTCCCTTCAGGTAGTTGTAGAGGGCGACGAGGTCTCCCCGGGCCTCCTGCGGACTGACCAGCCCCGCTCCGCAGCCGCCGCTCGCAGGTCTGTGCTGCAGCCCCTGCCCCGGCTTCGCCGCCCGCTCCGCACAGTGCCTGCGCTCCRGGGCCAACGGGACGGAATGGGTGCATAGCATTTCCCACCACTTTGTGTCCTTTTGATTAACACACCTGAATAAATGGTGCTGAGTGAGATGGCAGCACGGGAAAGCAACCGCGCAGAGTTGCTRCTTATTCACTGATTCCGAAGCAAGCAGAGGGTTGAGCTCCACGTTAGTGATCCCTGCCTTCTGCTCCATGAATAGACTGTCTTGTAATTTTTTTCCCCCCTTATTTTTTGCTTTATTTTCCCCCTGGTTTTCCCTCCTCGCATTAGGGCGCTCTGTTGGTGTGTGAGCCAGGCTCAAATACTCTTAATAGCAGTTTAATACTCAGGCACCTTTCTGCATGCAGTCCTTGAAGGTTCCCGTGTGTGCAGAGCAGTTCTTTGTAACAATCCGTCTTCCCACCGCGCCGCAGATCCATTGGCAGCTGACACCTTTAGTGCAGCTGTCACTTTTTTGGACAGTTGTATGTGCAAAAGGGGTTTTACAGTCCAATTAAACAGGCACATTTTATTTCTAAATCCACGATGAATTAGACATGGCTTGAACTTTCAGACCTCTGTCCTGGGACAAATGGGTACAGCTTGCTTGTAAGAAATTCTTTTTTTCAGTAAGATGTGCTGGCTCTGTATTTAATGTTCTTTCACTACGTAGTCTTTTATGCTTTATTTTTAACAGTTTGCATTTTTTAACTTCTTTTGTGTTTAACCTAATGTTCAACTAGTCTGGAGAGAATCTTTGACCACTAATTAATTGAAATCACCTTTTTAAACCAAGCTCTTGTCCTCCCTCTACAGGAGAATTTGCAGCATTCAAGTAGCCACAGCACCATGGCAGCACCCACTCTGTTATTTAAGTCTTGTGTTCCTACAGTTTCTTAACATCCAAACTCTATTCTGCTCCTCAGCACCTAAAGTAATCTAGAAAAGATATCCATAAGCTTAAAAGCGGAGCAGAATGGAACTGCCAGGCCAACACAATGGGAAACCAAACCCAACCAAACCCAAGTACCTTTTTAGGAACCAGAACACCCTGCTGCCAGTGTTTCTCCTCCAACACAAAACACCACATGCAATCGGAGACCCGCAGTGGCTGCCTGTGCCCTTGGCATCATTCCCCGGAGAGAGGAGAGGGCCCTCGCGGTTCGACTTCGGTGCTCGGGCGCGAGGGCACGGAGCTGCTGCTGCTGCTGCTGCACGTCGGGAGCCTTGCTGGGATGCTCTGCCGGGGCTTCCTCCCTCTAACCACGTGTCCTCAGAGGCTGACTGTCTGACGAGCGCTAATGGAAAGGATCACCCTCCGTTCTGCTCTCCTCCCCCCGGTGTGTGCTCGCTGGCTCACGGACAACGCAGCATCCCCTTTTCGGTGCGCTGCAGGCTCGCGCATCCACACCTGCCTCTGGTTCGGGCTGGCGCTGGCGGGAAAGTAAAATTGCGGGGGCATGGAGCTGGAGAAGACACTCGGCTAAAGGCCAAGCGGTTAATCCAAAGGAAAAGGGGATGCTGCTGCACCTTCATTTTTTTTTTCTCTTGGATCTCCTTTTATCACTTTTTCGAAAAAACAACGAAAAACAAAAAACAACCACCAACCTTAACCTTGTTCCTTTTCCAGTATTTTCTTGGTGTGTGCATATATGGCATCTTTTAGAAGGATTAGGTAAATCCTTCTTTTGTTGGTCCAGCAACAAACTGAAGTTAACAAAAAAAAAAAATGGAGAGATTGTCCTCTTTTTTTTTTTTTTCATTTTTCTTTTTGTATCTTCTGATACAATGTATTTATCAGAGATGCTGCTGTGGCATCTGAAGTCTGTACAATTCCCGATACAGACTGTGAATGGTGTATGTACCTACTTTAAAAGTTTTATTTTAAAAGAGGGTGCAGGTTAATGCCAGGTACCTTACCAATATGTAATGTTTTCGTAACTGGGGAAAAAAAGTTCTCAGGTTGAATTGAATACAAATACAAACCCCCCCTAGAATTAGACATTCCAAAAATTATGTTTTGGTACTTTTGAGAGCTTTTTCTTTTTTTWAAAAGGATTTTTATCCTGTTAGCTCGACGTCCTCCGCTCAGTGCGTGCATACGTGTGGAGCACCTTGTCCTGACGGCAAGTTGTCGGATTAAAACAAAACCAAACGGTACTTGCTGGATCCACGCCGACTCCTGCTCCTCCTCTCATCGCTTTCCTCCCTGTGAGCTCTTCCTCCCTTTACGTGCGTCCTTCCCCTTTGTACCCTTCGCAAACTGGGATGAAGGTGGCGGTGTCTGCAATCAAGTGCTTTCTTTCCCTGTTCTCCGGTCCTGGTTTCCAAGTGGTCGGTAGCTTTCTGACAAGTTACCCAGTCAGGGAAGAAAAAGAAAAGTTAAAAAAAAGCCACCACGTGGCTCACCTCTGGTAGGAACCACCACGTGGTTTACCTCTGGTAGGATATGTGGTGATGTGCTCTGTCTGCCACGTTCTCTGGTGTGTGGCATTAAATGTACCTCACGTGTGCGGAGGCAAGTCAGACCACGTGAGGGACGGATCCCGGCTCGGAGAAGCGGGTCGGCGCTGGCCAGGCCGGGCCTGGGCGGTCTCTGCACAACACGAGGGCGGCAAATGGAAGGGTGGCCAGTAAAGGAGGGAGGCAAACGCACGGGGCAAGAGGGGTGTCCGTGCCGGGGTGTCGCGGAGGAGCCCGGCCGTGCCGCGGCCTCGCCTGAGGATCCGTGGGAATCGCCACTGAAATACTGTGTATTCGTGTGGGTTCCACGAACACGAGCAAGACAGCAATAGCGAGTGACTTGAGAGTCACGGGGAGAATGAAGTGATTCATGTTGGAACATGAATTGAGCTGATTTTGTGTACAGGATGCGTTAAAAAAAAGCACAACTTTTTTCTTGTCTGCTGTGGGTCTTCAGATGCTGTAGGGGTTTTGTGTTCGTCTCTTTGTACGTTGTTTCCTCCGGAGGCTGGCGGGGCTCCGCGCGGCAGCGACAGCCCCTGCGCGGCGCGTTGGCGCTGGGCAGCGGTGCCGGAGCGCAGCAGCGGCCGGAGCCATCCCGGCCCAGGGGGAAGGCGGCACGCGGGGAGAACGGGGACGGATGTCTGCTCCGGGAGAGCCCGCTCGCTCCCGCCTCGTTCCCTGCGTGCCGCCACCCGCGCGCGGGGGCTTCCGCCCCGGCTGTGCACGGAGCGCAGGCGGGAAACGGCGGATTGGGGAGGTTTGTTGGGTTTTCTTTTGGAAGAAACTGTTGCCAGGGCTTGTACACGCGGTTCAAGAGCAACTCGTCTTGCAGAGCTTGTTTAAAATCCTTAGTTTTGTTCCACAAGGTCGCCCTAGCAGAAAACTGTTCTGCTAAAATGTAACTGTTAAATATAACCGTTAGGAAATTCATTCTTTCTTTGCTTAAAACATTCTTTCATTCTTTCTTTGCTTAAATCCCCTTTTTTTTTTTGGGATGGTTCCTTACCCATTAGTCTACAGTATGCTTCTTGAGCCCATAGGAAAAGCACAAGGAAAACTGCTCTCCTTGTCCATGCAAAGCACTTTATGAGTAACACGTGATCTTTGGGGTTTTGTTTTTACTGAGGTTGGTTTGTTTGGTTATTTAGTTTCTCTGTATTTTTTTCTTTTTTTTTTTCTTTTTTTTTTCCCTGAGGAATGTGCAAGTTGTTTGGCTGCTGTTTAGAGAAATCCTTTCAGGATGTGTTTCTACTGGCTTTCACTTTGTTTGTTGCCCTCCGCTAGCTGTAGTAACGTGTGTTTGTCTTTCAGAGGTCCCTCTTAATCCCCATGCAAAACTTTGGAGTAAATTTGGTTTGTAAATAATTGATTTTCTTTTTTTTTTTTTTTTTTWTYTTTTCCTTCAGGAAGTACTCTGGATGTCTTGCATGCCTTCAGGATCGGTCTTAACAGTGCCCTGTAGATGCTTAGTGAATGGGGGGACGAGTAGACAAGCGGTGAATGCCCCGTATAGAAAGAAGGAAGTAAATTGAAGTGAAAAGACAGCTACACTCATGTCAATCACACCAAATTTCTTAAGCTGCTCTGTGATGTCCCACCCTGTGTCCATGCTGTAACACGGAGCTGTTGCTGCATATTTCTGTTCGTGTGTGCACGTTGGGACGTCCTTCCAGACAATCACGTCGCTTTTAGCTCTGCAGTCTCTAATAAAATATTTTCCAAACTGCCACTGTATAATCCCACCTCTTCCTGAGGTCTTCATTACCTACGCACGCCCACAGGACCTCTCCTGTTGTCCTTGCCCTCCCGCTGCCTTTCCCTTTCCGTGCGGTTAGGAGAGACCTGCAGAGTTTCCTGTTGCCACGACCCATCAGTACCTGCCTATTTCCCCTGGTGTATTTCCTGGAACTGGAACATCAGAGCGGAGCTTAACTAGTCTGAACGAATGGCCCCGGGTGCAATTAGTTTGTTAATCCTTTGTTTTTCACCAAAGTCGTGCAAGTCATTAAATTCATCCAGTTCTGCTTTTTATTCCTACCCAAGGCATCTCTTGCTGTACTTGATGCTGTAGGAGCTGATGATGATGGAGGCTGTTTGGGGCCCAGAACTGCCACCTTACCGTGGCTCCCAGCGTCTCCTGGAGTAATCTGTGCCCGTGAGAGGCATTCCCAGGAATGCCACGATAAGGATAAAGACACTGCAGGTCAAACAGAGGCAGCCAGGTTTGCCTCTCTGTGTGTATGGTGACGKGAATGCCTTTTCCAGAGCATTTGGGAAGCCAGGTCCCCAAGGATCTTAGGATCAAAACTAAGCTGGAGCTTTGATAAGCGGAGGGGCTGAATTTAGGGGAGGAGCACGCAGACATTTCACGCCCTTGGAGCCTGTAGATTTCATTCCCTTCTTGACTGTGAGTGCAGCACGTGTAGCACAAACTGTCCATAGTACTGTAGACAGCGTGTCTTCTACCTGTTGAGAAACAAGAATCACTAGCAGCATAATACGGCAGGCCAAGGTTCTAGGTACAGTCAAGTCTAGTCCAAAATCAGCTGCGTAAATGGCCTCTTAGGGCATCGCTCTTCTCAGGCAAACTCTCCGTTTACTGCTGCCTTGTCAATAAGCGTTTGCCCTTCGTATTTGTTTTGGCCTACGTTAGAAATATCCTTTAATGAGTAAGCTCTTCAAAAGAACAGAGTGAAGCTGAGTTGTTCCMACTTTGTGTTTGCCTTCGAGCTTCAAGGATGCTAGCACAGGAACTAGGCAAGTCAAGCAGCATGGCAGCAGAAAATAATGGTAAGACTGTGGAAAGAGGGAGCTGTTTAAAACCTGCGGAATAYGGAGGGCGAAAGTTGAAGTGCAAACTAGCACATATATTTTGGTTAGAAAAGAAAGATAGCGAGACGCCCTATGGAACGGTTTACATAGGGATTCCCCCAGCGTGTCTGTGCAGCTTGCCAAATGCCCTCGTGCCTTCGCAGCTCCAGAGCACGACGGAGGTGAGCGCGGTGCTTCTGCTTTACCTCTGCTTGTGTGTAGCCCTTGCTTTAGCCCAGCAATTCCGGAGAGCAGGAAAAGGGGTAGAGGGTCCGGGAGGACAGGGAGCGTCCCCCCAAATACCCACCATCATTTCAAAGCCAGGAATTGAAGGATGCCTAATAATTCAGTTAACCTGCTACGTGAAGTCTGCTCTATTGAAAGTTAAATGATATTCATTTAACTTAAAGGTAAATAAGCCTCCCCGCCCCATCCCCCAAACGCAAAGATCTTGTTAAAGAAAGAAATGTGATGGAAAGTGTTGAAGAGTTGTCCTTTTAGGGAATGAGATGAGAGATGCAAAGCAAGAGCTAGTTTAGGAGGAATTGATGATACGGAGTCAGCATCCTCACCCTTCAGGGTGTAGRACTAACATCCTGATCCAGAAGGTGCAATCAGTTTTGTTTTATGGATTAGCTGCGGGTTTCCTTAGTTCTTTTTCAGGCCTCTTGCAGTTTCCCAACGTTGGAGGCTCCAGTTTAGTCATCCCTTGTTCTGCTACTGCACGTTAACCCTGGGAGGTCATAGGCGTCCTCACAGGTGAGGGACAACCAGTGTTTGACTCTGATTTGCTCAAATTTCCAACTGTTACTTAGGCTCCTGGCAGTACCTAAATATTAGTGTCCTGTTTAACCTCGTTGTCCATAAGGATGAAAGACTGGGTTTTGGTCTTAGTGCTTTTTCAGATCTTTCCCTTTTCTTCTTTGGGACATAAATCCAAATTTACAGAGTTATGTCTAAGTGCACAGTTCATACAAAATGTCGGATTCAYTTTGGTCTTCGTTCCTGTTGCAAATCCTAGTGTAATTTTTAAGTGTTTTACCAACATTCCAGGAACTATCAGGAATCCTTTTACCGAGCCCAAATCCTGCACTAAAAGCTCTCCYAGGGTGGTGGTTGTGTGTGTTTTGATGATAGTCCCATGGAAGCCATTCCCTGTTTTTGCCAGGGGGCTGACGGGCGCRTGTGGGGCCTGGGAAGCCCCTCGGCAGCAGAGGGTCCAGCCCCTGCAGCCTCCTTGAGAGGCCTTGGCCTGGCCAGTCGCTCCGGCTGCGTCGGGAGGGCGCCGGCCGCAGCTGAGGAAGCCTCTCGCMGCATCCCAGAGTGGCTGAGGTTGGAAGGACCTCTAGAGATCCTCTAGTCCAACCCCCTGCTCCAGCAGGGACACCCAGAGCACGGGGCACAGGGCGGCATCTCCTATAAGGAGAGGACRCCCCGCGTCACCCGGAGCGAGCGAGCGGCACACGAGAGGTTGCGTTTTCCTTCGGTTCGGGCTTGGAAAACCCGCGGTTGGTTTTTGTTCTGATCAGTGTCACTCTGCGTTGCGTTTGTGCGTTCACCTGAGGACCTGTCCACCTGATGAGCAGAGAACCTGTTTGTGCATTCAGGGGGTTCACGGAGCAGCAGGAGAAGCAACGGAGCCAGCCCACGTCCAGGCGCTGTCCTTGGGCAGAGTGACCAAACGTAGCTGTAGGGCTCCTGGGRGATGTGAGGGCATCATCTAAATCAACTCTGTCTGAAGCAAAGCGTACGTGCAATAAATGTGCTTTTTTATTCAAAGCTGTGAACCTTTCGAGAAAAAAAAGCAAGAATCATGCACATCATTCCTTCATGAGCCGCGTGTCCTTCCCGCCTCCCTCTCCCCACTGACGGAGACCAGGCCGTGGTCTCTCCACCAGCCTGGATGCTGCTTCCCTCCATATCCAGAGGGAAGGGGCGCACGGACAGAGCCGCTGTCGCGCGTTCCGCTGTGCGGGGCCCTGTCCCGGGTCCGGAGCCGACGCTCCGCGTCGGCTCCGGACCCGGGACAGGGCCCCGCACAGCGGAGCCGGCACCGGCAGCACCAGAGATTTGCAAGGAGCTTATAACTGCAAAGGAGAAGGTCCAGTCTGCTTAAAACCAGTTGTGTTAGTGGGTTTCCATAGCTGCTTTTTACAAAAATCGACAATGGAGTAAATTGTTCTGAAACTTGTATTTATTTTTTTAATTCATAACGGCGTCTGTTTGGGGTTTTCTGTTACCTAGGTCATGGCAACTGCCCCTTCTTCTCGAGTTTTCCCTTTATTGCCAATACAGCTTATACTTCTTGTTTGTTCCCCCCTCCTCGCCCTTTACTTTTGTCGTCCCTTCATTTGTACTTTGGAGTTTTTTCTCATGTAAATTTGTACAATGGGAAATATTGTCCAGTTTGGTTAGAGAGCATGGAGACTTAAAAACATATTAAAAATTTGATAGCTGAATTCAGATTGAAGAAAACTATTTCTGTGTAAAGTTATTTAAAGAACTCTGTATTATATAAAAAAAAAAAAAGGCAAAAAGTTCTATGTACTTGATGTGAATATGAGAATACTGCTATAATAAAGATTGACTGCATGGAGCCGTCTGCAGCAGGGGGTTATTTATCCATCGGCCCCAGGGCTGCTCTGGTGCAGAGGGGGGACCAGGGGGCTCGTGGGCAGTGAGAACAAAGCTCCTTGGGCCCCGTTCGCTGGGGATGAGGCTCTGGCCAAGAGACACGGATTTGGAGAGGATCCACCTCATTCCCGCTGCTCCACACTGGGATGGCCGCCTCCCTGAGCGACATTTGAGCCGCTTCTTGCTTGGCAAGGTCCCTGATTTCATGGAACCGAGCGCGGAGGCTGCTACGGCCACGGCAACCTCCCCTCCTTCGCTCTAGGGAAGGCTGGATGCGCCCCTGTTCCCACGGGGGCCCTTTCTGCACGAGCAGCTGCGGCCAAGGGCAAGGTGCCGAGGATTGGGAGCCGCCTCGGGACGGGGGGCTGCCGGGTGGGCACGAGGGCAGGATCCCCACGGGTCCCGAGGGAGCCCTGCCAGGCGCGGACGCAGCCCCTTCCCGCGGCACCACAGCGCACACGGAGGCGCTCCCCGCGCCGGCCCGAGGCTCGGACACCAGCACAGCGTCAGTCGCACCGCCGTTATTTACAGGCAACGTTTATTGGAACGGGCCGAGGGGCCGGGGCCGCGCGAGGCGGCGCTCCGGCTCCCGGCCGCCCCYCTCCCGGGCCGGGGCCGCCCGGAACACAAGGCGACCCGCGCCGCCGGCTACTCCTCGTCGTCGGGGGGGATGCCGAGCTCCTCGTCGGTCCAGGCGGCGGGGTCGGGGTACGGGAAGTGGCCCTGCGCCGCAGGGCCGGTGAGGGCGGCGCCGCCGCGGCCCCGTCCCGCCCCGCCCCGTCCCGCMGCTCACCAGCACCATGTCGGAGCTGTGCCACAAGTGCCACAGGATCCAGAACCACATGAAGCCCGAGAGCGCCTCGCCGCGGATCACCTGCGCGCGCGTCAGCTGCGGGAACTGCCGGTAGCGCGGCTCGATGTGCACGCCGCCGCCCGCGCTGCGGCACAGCGACACGCGTCAGCCCCGCCGCGGCCCCGCGCCGCCCCGCCGC